CGACGCTCTGCCCTCTCTGGGCACGGATCCGCCGCCGGGAGGGAGCGGCTATCAGGATTTCTTCCGTCTGGCACTCCGAGTCCCGGGTCCCCGACCTCCTGCTGCCGGAGCCGGAGAAGTCCGGGTTTGTGTGCACAATCACATTGCGCTCCCTCGCCACTGGTGACTCGTCTGAATCTAGGACACACGGAAAGCCAGGTGAGTGAGAGACAGCTCCATATTTCCCAGCACGAGACGACCCGCGGAGCAACCCAAGAAGCATTATCTGGTCTATTCTTTCTTTTTCAATCTTGCTGAGCATTGGACCCAATTTAACTTCGCTATAAAGAGTATATAAGGCAGACCTCATCCCGGTGAGGTGGGGAAATTTTCCTAGTCCTGCAATGGGATCTCAGTCCTCCTATTTCTGCAATGTGATCTCACATGGAGCTGATCTTGCTGTGGTAAATATTAAGATAAAAATTAAGTTTTCCATTTTTGTCACTCTATTTCAACTAGTTAAAGACAGTTTTCAGGAGTGGCTGCTGGACAAAACACTCCGTGAGCTTCTAGAAGTAATTCTATTTTGACTACCTATCTGTTCAGAATTTCCATTATCTGCTTCTTTACTACCAAGAATATTTGCAAGGCAACAGGATCTTTCTTTCATAGATTCTCTGGTTGCTTACCCCTATGATAAACACATTCCTTCTGCTTTGCATCGAGTTTTACGGCAACGGACCGAGATACCAGAGCCATCTTCAGGTGCAGGTGAACATTAAGAAATAAAGATCCTGTTAGTTTCGTTTTGGGTTAATACCAATTTTACGCTGGATTTGCCCTCAACAGAATTGCTCCTAATTTACCTGGGACGAAAAGTGAGGTAAGCCACTTGATTTCGGGCAAGTATGCTTGGTAATAAAGAATGAAAGGAAGGAATCGAGGACGAGCGTGATAAATTAAAGGAACGTTTAGCAAAGTTTCCCGTAGGATACCAGCAGCTGTCTCTAAGGCGGATATCCAACTGCTTATCTGAGTGAGTTATCCGGCTGTTGTGACAGCTCATCGTCACTTTGCTGAGCAACATCTGTCAGTTCTTTACCTTAAGCTCCCCTCACACAAGAAAAAACTTTCACTTAATCTAGTTACTTTTTATGCACATAACTATGGGTTCATAACAGAAATAAAATGGAAAAAAAAAGAACTGATTAACATTTACACGATAAGAGCTGAACACGTACATCTATATTACTTAGTAAGGCCCCCGGTCCGTCAAGGCCATATGGAGTAATATAGCTTTGCTTACTGTGGTAAATCAAAAAAACAAACCACATCATTCCCAAACTCCACAAGCATTTATGCTTTCGAGGTTTTGTTTCTTTGGAAGGCTGGCTACCAGCTCATATCCCTGCAATTTAAGTTGGTTAGAAAGCTATCTACGGAAGATTTGTATTTATACTACACCTATTTCTTGTTGCACTCTTCTGGGGATGCCAGAGATGGTTTTCCTCCTCCTCAACTTTCGTCTCCGCTGTAGTACAGATTGTGAATGAACAAGAGAGCAGCGTATACTAGCCTCTCTGTCAAAACCAACTCCTGCAACCCATAAATAGGTCTCATTAGCCTTTAGAAATAGTAAACAAATTTTCATGGCTGGAACACAGTGGAACACATACACAGGTATGTGAGCTTGGATTAAGCCTGTGAATAAACATAAGGGAGCCCTTATGTAGCTCTTATGTAAATTATATCACAGTATATCACAGTTTTACATCTAATTCCAGCTCCCCCTCAGCAGCCTGGTCTGCCAAAAATAACAGAAGGCATTAAAAAAAAAAAAAAGAAAAGAAAAAAAAAGAAAATCAGGAAGGAAAATAGAGTTGAGAGCTCTTGGTGACAGGGCATCTTTCATATAGCTATTTATCCATCTGTCATAGGGACAATGACAGTAACTTGTCTGCAAAGAGTAATCTGTTCAGCTGTAGCCTGACTTATTTTAAGCAACTAAGCATAAGAAAACAATTTAAGGTTATAACGCCATACTGCAGTAGTTGGGCGCTTCTTAGGAGACCAATATGCCAAGGGGGCTAACATTTCAAAAAAGAAGGAGACAGCTAAAATGGGGCCAAGTCCCTGTGCAAGTTTAGAAAGCATTCTTCGTGACGATGACACATAGCCAAGGGTGACATAAACGGGCAGCTGCTATTTACTTGCGTACATCAGTAACCGGCCTGATTTTCACAAGTGCTCCCACGGCGGGATGCGTGGGAGTCCACTCTGGGAATCGGGTCATGCATTCAATCAAGATCCTCAGTTTGGATTTAGGAGCCCAAGTTCACGGGCACATTTATTTATGACCACTGTCATACAGAATAGGCGAGAATTCCTCATTTTCTTTATGGTTCCATGGCTTTAGCACAGGGAAGTGTCTTTCACTTTGTTTTCTACACTGTGTTGTCAAAATAAAGTTAAAAGGAGGCATCACCAGAGGGTCAGTGCCCATCTGTGAGGGCTTTTTTGCATAACTATATATTAATGCTCTCTAAAATTGACATGGGACAGGTCAGAAAAAATGTGCCAGGTCCATAAAAACTCTAACATAAGGATCGCTGGTACAGTGGTTTGTAATCTTAAGAAAAATGAACAAACTAAACCAAACAAAAGGAAAAAAAAATCCTGATAAGAAGCTCTATTTTAATAGCGTATAATTATAGAAAACATAATTATACACAGACATACACGTACATATTACACTACATAACAATGTAAAACATTAAAAAGTAACTTTCTTGTAAAAGTTCTTCTTGAAATCTACTACAGTGAAATAGAGGCTTCAGACAGATGTCCTGTAACCACCAATGCCCCTGGAATAAGCAGAGGAAGAACTTTCTTTAATATGGAACAAAAGTGCCGTAAACTCCAACAACAGTCATTTTCAAAAAAGTGAACATTTCTCAGGGTTGGGAGAAGCTTAAAAAACAAAAACAGAGAACTGAAAGCAAACTCTTTGAAACGAAAAATCAATCAGCATCATTGCTGGTTTTCCAGCAACTGTGAGTTAGCCGAGCATGCTCTGTGTGCCAGATGCACGGGGGTCATCTCCGAGAGGAAAGTGGAAGAGGGTATGTCCTCCCCGTGACGCATACAAATTATTCCCATTAGTGCTAATGAGAATGATACACATAAACATCCAGAAGATTACATACCATTCTTGATCTGTAAAACTGATCAGTGGAAATTTGGTTCCAATGTATGGCAGGTGGAGTCTAGGCAAAAATGGCTATTACTGGAAAGGTTAACATTGGTCGCAGACCTAACTCTCCTCTGAACTGCATTAGGTGACACTAGCCGTGTTAGAAAGCCTACACCAGTTAGGGTCCTGTACCGAATCTAGAAAGAGCATCATTTTAACACCAGCTTTACCTCGTGGAAACGTGCCACGCTATTTGCTATTTTCCACGGGGATTTCTGTCGGCAGTGCCCAACCTACGACCTCGCCCGGCCGGCTCCCAGCCTCCAGCCTGGCAGGGTCCATGCAGGC